TAAGATTTAGTGCTCCGGAAAAAAAATAGATTTTTGACCAAAGGGGGGGGCCCTTAAGGAGAATAAGTTTTCAGGTAGTTTTTTTTCACCCAGTTCTTTTCTTTTAAAAAAACTGCGTACCTCAACGGTGCACCCCATTTTAAAAAAATTTGTACCCTAACCGTACCCCATTTGAAATTCGGTGTACCACATTTAGGAGCTAGCACTTGGCAGGCCTGCTGGCGACCAACGTTTTATTTGATGACTTCCCACATTCGACACATAAATATTGCCCATTTGATCAACAATCATACCTACGGGTTGAAACATTGAACTGGGATTTTCTTCAGAAACTTTTCCTGGAGTAATAAGAGTGCCTTCAATCACATTTTTCATCCATTTCATCACACGATTATTTGTAGTATCCGCTACGTAAACAGAATAATAGTCATCAACAAAGATATACCTAGGTTGATTCAATTGACTTCCTTCTACATTTACACCTGCTATAACTGTACCTTCACTGTCTTCTTGTCGCCAACGTCTGACTTGTGTCTTCCCCAGTCAGAAATATAAAGATCGTTATGATTATCCATTGCTAAACCGTAGCAAACAATACGATCTATTAATACTTGCGGATTCTGACTACTTTGAAGAGACCATTTTACCACTCGTAGGTTTCGATGATCACAAATAATGATATATTTCTTCTCTTTATCAAGAATTACATCCTTTGGATAATTCAATTGATATAGTTCACGTCCTGGTCTAGTTCCACCTGCAACTATTTCACCTTTGTCTGCACCAAATTCCCATCTAACAATACGATGATTATTAGTGTCAGCAATGTAAATACTATAATTATCATTATTAACATGAATACCCAAAGGCGCATTTAATTGATTTAATTCATTTCCCCGTCCATTTCCTCCAGCAACAGTAGATGCATTCTGTTTCCATTTCGTATTGCTACTAATGATAACTGAAGGAGGTAATTGTTCTATAAAACATTAAAATATATTTTAATTTCTTTTCTTTTCTTTCGATCTAAAAATTATTTCTTAAAAATAGGATATATTTTGTTTTATTCAGCATAATATTTCAGTGCTATTACATATAAAACACGAGAACGTAGGTGTGAGTGTAGATGGATGAACTATGAATTCGATACTACATATTCATGTACCCTTCCGTGAGCCTTTCAATGTTTTTATAATTAGTTTTAACAAAATCATACCGTTTGTTGTTGTTGTTGTTACTGTTGTTGATGTTTTTTCTTTTTCAGTTTTGTTCGATAAAATGGTAGTTGTTACAACAACTGTAGTTGAAACAACACAAATAATGAGAAATATTATCCAGATCAATTTTCTCCTTTGAAAATGTTCATATCTAGAATAAGAAATTATTTTCATACTTTATTTCAATTTACAATATATACATACAATCTTCTTAATGGTGTTGTACTAGAATTAATTACTGCCAACTAAAATATTCAAAAATAAAATAAGATTATTTTCTTTCTGTTTTTAATACATTACTACATCAGGCTCAACTCTGTTGTTAATATTCATAGTTATTCTTCTATCCAAACTCCAATATTTTCACAATCTGAAGTTAATAACAACAACACTTTTTCTTCAAAAATCATTCATCAATATTTAATATAGTCAAAGAAAATATAAATTATTTTTTGTATTTATGAGATTTGACGTTTTATCAAATCATCAATTAAAATAAAAATAAAAAACAAGTTTTGATTCATTCTTATTTGAGACAAGTAAATCTAACTTCAATATGATATATTATATTCCTTACTTCTCGTCCATTAAATAGAAATTGTTTTGCCTGAGTTAAATAATTAGTTTGGAATATCTTAGCATTTGAAACCACAAAAAAACATCTTATATCAAAAGAAATATTATTTCTATTCCCTTTTTTTTCAAAGTTAGTTTTCAGTAAGATCTTGACAGATGTGAGTGTGTTATTTGGTATTCATGTAAAAACTCTGTTGAATAAAATACAGAAGTAGATTGCTTGAAATAATATTTATCATGATTTTCTAGAAAAAGAAAAGTCACGGATTGCCATCAAATGCTGCATAAAATATATTGAGAAAGAATAGAATATTATTGTTAAAAATATTTTATATTTAATACTTTTAGCAGGATTCAGTATTTTTTTGGAAAACTTTTCCAGATGTTGTAGGTGTGACTGAGAGTATTGTCTCTAAGTCGCACTCACACCCAAATTATGTTGTTGTAACAAATAATTCTGGGTTGTCACAAGAACATGCTCTCATGTCGACATCGGTTATATGCAGGGGTGGCGCGACCGGGGGTGTGTCGGGGGTGTAACACCCCCCCAATCTTTGAAAAGTTCTATTTTTTGCTCAACAAAATCGGCAAGTTTTCGTAAGTTTTTGAACAAAGCTCATGTTACACCCCCTAAAAAATCAAAAAAACTTCGCTACACCCCCCAAAAATTCAAAAAATTTTCGTCACACCCCCCCAATGTTGGCTGACTCGCGCCACCCCTGGTTATATGGATGTATCTCTTAATGCGGGATCATTTAGAAATAGATGCATATTAAAAAATTCATCACTAGTTTGTTTTTGTCAAAAGAATAGTTCATATCCTTTACCTGGAAATCTTTATTTATATAAGAATTCTGAAACTTTTGGAATTTATGATTTAAATAGAAGTAAAGCAAATGAAACATTATGTGATATAATAATTGATTGTTTACCATATCAAATGGCACTTTCATCATCATTAGAATAATAATCAATCATGTTTTCAAACATTATTTTATTATCTTATAAAAATACATTAAAGATTTCAATTCTTAATCAATCATTATCAAGTCGCTTTCTTTCAACAAGAAAAATTGAATTATTTATCAATGAACTTTTTCTTGAAGAAATGTTTAATAAAACAAATCATACAAAAATATTATTCACAATGTCTACCCAATGTTTGTCAATATATTTATATACCGCGTTTTTATAGATCTTCTTGGAGGAATAACAACTGTATTACATATAATTACTCCATACATTATTCGATTAATTTATGTATCAAAAAACTAGTTGTTTCAAAGAAACATCAACAAGTTATACAAAAAAAATTAAAGTAAGATTTAAGTAAAAAGAAAAGAAAATCCAAAATTTTAATTTATACAGTAAATATTCTCGTGATTCAATACGTCTTTATCATGGTCTTTTAGCAACACGATTATATATTATTTTATTTTCATATTCATTAAATGAAATATTTAATGAAACTATTATAAATCCATCTGGACAAAAATATGAAAAATTAGAAGAAAAATATTTATCAACATTAACATGTCCATGTACTCAAATATCTATACCTTAACGAGATTTAATAGCAATCGAAGTAAAACATCATCAGATATGTACAAGTGATTTTGTTAATACAAAATGGGTTACCTATTTATTTTATGAAGAATATTGGTACAAGTATAAACGACGTGATATTCGTGTATGTAGCGATGCATATTTTTTATTTATTTCAAATTTATGTCACATTTCTCAAGTAACAATTAATAATGCAACTGAAGAATTTCTTAATAAAATATTTATCAATACTAAATTAATATCAGAATCTAAATTTAATATTCACATTAAAAATATTATTTTACAAATTTAAAACGTAACTTTAAAAAAATTTACCGAAGCTTAAAACTTATGCATGATATAATAAAAGAAAATACTTTTGTATTGGCGGAGAGACACAAAATAGTACTTTTACAATAATTTCAACTAGTCCAATAATAATGAAAACTGAATGTTCATGTGGAACATAAAGTAACTGTATTGATTCAGGAGGAATTTATTATGATTTAACTAATGATCAAGTATTTGCAATGCTTGGATTACCATATTGGATGTTCAGTTGTAGAAGCATTATTGCAGTCAACATTTGAATGTTTATATAATCAAGCATGTATTGATTTATTATTATATATTATACCATACTGGTTTACAATCAATATAGTTATCGAATGAATATATCAGCTATTAATTCTTCAATTGGAAATCGTTTTAAAAGAAATACATTTATACAAATTATAGCAGATAAATTATTTATTGAAGAATGGAAAATCAATAGTTCTTATTCTTTATTTTATAATCAATGTGCTCCTATTTATTGTTCTTATATAACTCACAAAGATGATTATGTTATTTATATTATATCAAAAAATTTAGGTTTTTATATGGAGGACTAACTGTTTCTTTAAGATTTGTTATTCCAATTATTCCTAATGAATAGTTTATAGAATAATTTTACGATAAACTATATCAATCCATATACAAACAAGCTTTGCTCATTATTTTAATAGATGCTTATTTACTTGCTTCGTATTCATTTTTTTCTACATTATTGAAATCGTCTCGAAAATTTTTCATATGAAGAAAAGAAATGTGCGTAGATTACAATGGTAAATAGTGAGCATTCAAGTGTGTCCAAAACGTCCTTGTCAAAAACATTAAGAACGCAGAGAATAAAATTTAGATTTTTTAATATAAGAGTTTCATCTCGAAACCATATCCATTCGAGAAATAAATTGTTAATAAGATTTCTTAATTTTTCTTTTTCGTTGATGCACCTTTGAAGATGAAAAACATACGTTGTTTAGAAGATTTCATCATTATTGCCAATGTGTCAGAAAAATATGTGATCAGCCATCAATTATTTTGTATATGAAGAAAAAAAGAAATTATATCTCAAGGTAATTACTGTCTATCGAAAAAAAAATGTCTATAGATTACAAAAATAAAAGTGCATCGAAAATGGCCTTGTAAACAAAATTAAAATTTTCTAATATAAGAATTTTATCTACAAATCAAATTGATTCGAGAAATAAATTGTTAATAATATTTCTCAGCTTTTCTTTTTTCTTTATGGATCTTTGATAACGAAAAATATACGTTATTGCATATCTCTCAGTGAAATATGCTATGAGTAATCGATTGGTTTGCGTATGAAGAAAAAAAGAAATTATATCTCAAGGTAATTACTGTCTATCGAAAAAAAATGTCCATAGATTACAAGGATAAAAGGTGATCATAAAAGTGCACACAAAAATGTCCTTGTAAACAAAATAACAACAACGAAAAAAAAAATTTATATTTTTTAATATGAGAATTTTATCTAAAATCATATCGGTTCGAGAAACAAGATTGTTACACTATAAATTTGAAAATGCTTTATAGTGAAAACGAAAGGATATTCTAAGAGCACCCATAATATATTAATAGATGAAGTTCTATTTTCTTAACAATATGAAATGAATGAATGAATGCGTCAAATAAAAAAAGATAATTTGAATGTCGCTTCATAAACATTTAGTTCACATACATGCATGGAATAAAATATAAGATTTTTAAATTCTCTGACTATCAGATAGTCTTTTTATAGAATATTATTTTGACATATGATGAAAATTCTTAACTTGGAGTAGTGTTTTTAAAGGTTCTTCATATAAACCAAAACTTCGTGTATCTATCGACGGATCTTTTAAATAAAATAATAAGGAGATATGAAAAATTTATCTGAAAGAGAATTTTTGGACATTATGTGAATATTCGATTGTAATTGCCAAAAATATTAATGCTTTAATATGTATTTTTTTTTATCATTAATGAAACGTCCAAATATTTTCTTCGTATTGACGTCAAACACTGGTTAGTTAGAAAAAAATCAGTAATAGCTTGATTAATGAGCCATAACATCGTTGCGAAATGCAAAAGATAGACAGGAACAGTGAAAGCAAAAATAGAAAAATAAGAAAGAGAGATGCGGAGGAGCTGCTGCTATATAACCAACGAATATCACTGATATTTTCGCATTTAAATTCAAACATCACAAATGCAGTAAAAAAGGTAAGCAGTATAGTTATCCAATATTATTAACGGTTTGCTCGTAATATAAACAAATAAGTTATTGCTACTACCGCAAAAGTAGGAGCAACTTATATCATATCTGAGTGACTACAGAATTATTTGAGAATATATAAAACTTAAATATATTTCACTCGATATTAGATAAATTTGATCAAGTTTAATATAGTATTTGCATATTATTACTTTTTTTATGAGTACGTCGTAATGATTGTAGTTTTTACTGAAGTTCATTTAGTTTTTCATAGCAGATCAGTTTTGAATGTTGGCTCCTTGAGTTCTTCAAGCTCATCCAATCCAGCAATAACTAGAAAGATTTTTGTTTACATCAGTTAATTGACAACCAATTCTGTTATATGACGACTGAAAAGAACTATATGAATACAATAACATTATTTGAATCATTAAATTCTTATGAATAATTTTATTGCATGAAATATTCATTTTACATTAAATTATTCATTCCTTTTTTTAAATTGAATGTATAATATTAACTCGAGAAAAGATAAAAATTCTTCCTTCTTTTTTAATAATTCTTTAAATAATTTAATGAAATGGATCAAATGTAATAAAGTAGTTAAAAATATTATTTTTTCAATATTTGATAAAAATGAGATGAAATAAAACAAAATGTAATTATTTAATAAATTAAAGAACTATTAAAAAAGAAGGAAGAATGTTTGTCTTTACTCGAATTAATATTATACATTCAATTTAAGAAAAGGAAGAGATTATTTAATGTAAAGTGAATTATTTAAATCATTAAATTCTTATGAATAGTTTTATTGGATGAAACATTCATTTAGTAACAGGTTTAACAAAAAATACCAGACGTAAGCAAAGATACAGTCAAGTAAATCTTAGATTCATTCAATCCGTTCGGCTGATG